CTCAAGATGCTCTGTCCTCGGATGTCGTCAGATAAATCACAAGATTTTGAAACTACTCTCAATGAAACTCTGTATTAAATATAAAGGGATTAGTATTCACTTGACACGAACATACATTCCAATAGAAAATAGAAGAAAAGAATAAGAATTATTTGCATTTTTAAAAAGGTTTTGTATTCAATCTTTGTCTTAAAATAACAATAATATAAAGAAAAGTAAAATAAATATATATACATCTTGATTTATATATATATATATATATATTTAAAATAAAAATTAAGATTAGTCAGTGCTTTTGTGTATAACTTTTAAAGATAATAAATAAATAAAAATATGCTAATTAGTTGATTTTTATATGAATTAATTATGTTAATAAGTCGATTAGTTATTATAATTATAATATATATTTTTAAAATAAACAATAAATAATAATTAAATTTCATTGTTTTACCATTAAATAAATGGTAAATAATTAACGTTTTCTATTGAGTTTTTACGCTTATAAATGATTAAAAATTAGATTTAATTATTAAAATATTTATATTAATTGTTTTACAAGACATTTATGCTTTAAAAACTGTGTTTTTTTTAAATAAAAAACTTAATTATATTTAAAATTTGATTGTTTTATCGTTGTTTAAATGAGAAAAAGTAAAATTTGCGCTTTTCTATTGATTTTTAAAAAAAATGTATATAAATGATTTAAAATTCAATTTAAATACTAAAATATTTATTTTTAATATTTAAAATATTTAAAAAATGTATATTTTGGTATAAATTTGAATTTATTTTAAAGCTAATCGTGGACATAAAATATTGCCATTTTTAGAATTATTTCTTAAATAATTCACTTAAAAATTATAAATATTATTTAAGAATATCAATTAATAATTAATGCTTTTTTAAATTCTTAATTTTTTTATATTATAAATTCAAGTTTTATCCATAAATCATAGCAAATGTATAGTTTGATTTGTATGTTGCAACTCCTAGACAAACATGTTTTCTTTTTTCAATATTACATAACGATACTTTATGAAGAATCTATTAATGCATCAATCATAAGAAAATTTAAAGAAAATTTAAATATATTTATTTATTTTTTTATATTTTAAGAAAGTTTAAATTAGTATTTTTCCAATTAAATATAACGTATTTAAGCTATACTAGAAGCAGATCATAGAGAGATTTAAGCTATAAAAATTTAATTATTTCTATAAATTAAAGTCTTTTAAAGTATATAAATATATTTTTAAATGTAAAACATGTAAAATATTTTTAATTTTTTACAAATTAATCAGTTAGAAAGCGATAAATCGATACGTTTTGTAACTGTAATTTAGATTATTGAGCTGTTTATAAGAGTGAAGAAAATAATTTTAAATTATAAAAGTTCATTTATTTAACTTAATTTATATCAAGATTTTAATTATAGTTAAATTTTAAACCGTTATAAACAGCGGAAATTGATACAAATTGGATGATTGGGAAGTTAAGTTTTAACACGTCAGTTGGATGGGATAGTTTAGAAGTTGCGAAAAGTAATAAATAACATTAAAATTTACTCCTTATAACACAAATATGATAGATTAAAACAGAAAGATGTTGTTTATGATACAAAAAAACTGACATAAGGAAGCATAGAGAGTTAAATTTACGCCGAATTCCGGTCAAAAGGTTGTCATCACCGTACCATGATGCTAACATGTATATGCATTAAGTACTTAGAATACTCTGTATATATATATAAATGAATTGATAATCAGCTATCATTATACAGTCTGAATGGTGCATTAAATTAATTTATTTTCACTGCTCCTAATTTGTTTTTTGACTACGCTTCTCCTTATTAGAAGGAATCTCAGATGTTAGATGAGCCGAATCATCATCTCAAACATCATTCTTAACCACGCAATATTTATCTTTTAAATAAATTTTATCCTTAATTTAATTTCTACATCGTGTTTAATAAATATTTTAATTATTAATTAGACTTTAAACTTATATTTTTTCGTTTTTATCGGCCTTTAAAATCGTGTAATTTATAAACAACTGTTGACTAAATATAGCCTACTTTGATCTATTTATATACATATTTAAATTATTTAATGTATTACAAAATATTTTTAGCGGTTACTTTTTAAGTGTTAATACTAAAAATTCGACCTTGGTTAACAGTCTCTATCAGTTTCATTTAGTATTTTCACATGTTTATGAATGGAAAATTCGTGCCCTTGTTTATTCTAGAAATAATAGCGCATTGTATACAATGTTTACACTTATATACTTGGCGTAACGACCAGTTGTAAAACAGGTATTTTCATATTTTGATTGTTGTAATATTATTTATTAAATACTATATAAAATCACGTATGTTTAAACATAATTGCTTATTTAGTAACTTGATAATTGTGCAGCAATTCACATAGTTTTCATACAAGAAGTTCGCTGAAGAGATGATATGGAAGCGCTCTTCATTATTCGATTATAAATTAAATTAAGCTTAAAAATACTTAAATTAAATTCTTTTATAAACGAAAATTTACTATTATATTCAAAAATACAATTAAATTTTTATATAAAATCGATTTAGTTAGCCAATACTTTCGTCCTGAGCAAGAGGGATGTTTACGTTTGAACCCACTCTCAGGCCTTAGTTAAATGATAATGTAAAGATTTACTGCTGCGTAACGCTGCGTAACATCGTCACCTCGCATCGTAACGCTATAAAATACCGCTTAAAGCATTAAAAAAAAGACTTTAAAACTATATAGAATTTTAACGATGATTAAGAAAAGGGGGACAAAGTTACAAAAATGTAACAATATCTAATACAAAATATTATATTATTTAGGTTGAATTAACAAACAATTTAAACATAAAAATAATTTTTATACAATTTAATTCTATTTATGATCGTGTTTATGACTTTAAAAATTTTTTTGCCTCACGGCTTAGATAGACCTAGTTAAAGTAGTGTAATTCGATCCTTTTCTCTCCCTCTACATTTTGTAAAACAGACTTGAATAATAACAACAACAATAATAAAAATCCTACAGCCTTAAATATATATATATATTAATAAAAAAATTAATACACTTAACCTATAAGCAGGAAGCAAATAATTATTTAGAAATTTAAAATTTTGAATCTTAAATTTGTAAAGATTTATAAATATGAAGTAAGCTTTAAATATTAACTTTCTCTTAGTCTTTATTATTTTTTTAATAATTATTTTCCCTTCTTCAAGGATTAATTTTTATTTATAAAATTGATCAAGATTACAGGAAAGATTACTTTCTTAAGAAAACAAAAATATATCTCAGAGCGATTTCAAGATTTATGAAGAGAAAACTGGGTCGTTTATAAGCTAGACAAATGATAACAGATAGGAATAAAGCGTATGTAGGTCTGCCCGCATTTTTATTAAGGTTGTATTTCATCTCTTTGCATCCAAGGACGATGTTAAGATGATTCGATTCATCAAAATTCTCTTCTGATAATTTAATATAAAAAATCTCTTTCTACTAATGAATTTTGATAGGAATTTTATAGATTTATATAATCAAAATATGAATTTTCCTGCTTAAAATATCGATCCTTAACCTAAGATATATTACTACTTTCTGTATTATCGAAGTGTGCAGAGTTATCCTCATTAATATATATATATATATAGAATGACCCCAAGTTTTAACTTGTATATAATTAGAATATGAGGTGATTCTGTATATAAATAATTTCAATATTTATTTATTTTTTAAAAATATTTGTAACTTTATAGACAGATTTTATATGCTTTGAATATTCAGATCTTCACTTGGTGTTTATAAAATTTGCCTAATTTTTAGCTGAAATTAAAGAGAAAATGCATATTTTCTCACAGAAATTAATGAGAGAAAGATGTTTTGAAGCATTTTAGTTAAAGTTTTGGTATGTTGAGATACGAATTTCCTTGATGCATTTCAATTATTTACCAACAAAGCTGAAGTTAATTAGTTACGTTACTTTTTATTATTATTATTTTTTTAATAATTATTTTCCCTTCTTCAAGGATTAATTTTTATTTATAAAATTGATCAAGATTACAGGAAAGATTACTTTCTTAAGAAAACAAAAATATATCTCAGAGCGATTTCAAGATTTATGAAGAGAAAACTGGGTCGTTTATAAGCTAGACAAATGATAACAGATAGGAATAAAGCGTATGTAGGTCTGCCCGCATTTTTATTAAGGTTGTATTTCATCTCTTTGCATCCAAGGACGATGTTAAGATGATTCGATTCATCAAAATTCTCTTCTGATAATTTAATATAAAAAATCTCTTTCTACTAATGAATTTTGATAGGAATTTTATAGATTTATATAATCAAAATATGAATTTTCCTGCTTAAAATATCGATCCTTAACCTAAGATATATTACTACTTTCTGTATTATCGAAGTGTGCAGAGTTATCCTCATTAATATATATATATATATAGAATGACCCCAAGTTTTAACTTGTATATAATTAGAATATGAGGTGATTCTGTATATAAATAATTTCAATATTTATTTATTTTTTAAAAATATTTGTAACTTTATAGACAGATTTTATATGCTTTGAATATTCAGATCTTCACTTGGTGTTTATAAAATTTGCCTAATTTTTAGCTGAAATTAAAGAGAAAATGCATATTTTCTCACAGAAATTAATGAGAGAAAGATGTTTTGAAGCATTTTAGTTAAAGTTTTGGTATGTTGAGATACGAATTTCCTTGATGCATTTCAATTATTTACCAACAAAGCTGAAGTTAATTAGTTACGTTACTTTTTATTATTATTATTTTTTTCTTTTTAAGTAGTTCAATGTCATTTTATATTTTTAAAATAAATTTTTCTTAATTGATAACGTTGAAGTTAATATAATTAACTTGCAAATTAACTTAAATTTAATTTAGTAAATGCGTTAGAAAATTTATAAAAATAAGATTTAAGTAAATAATTATTTTAACTTACATCGTTACTTGATAAGTAACCATAAATTTCTAAATTTCCAAGACGTACGGTGCCTTGAAATGGTAAAAATCGTGTTCCTCGAGGTATACGTTGGTTTGTCCATACACAAACGCACGTGTCTTTTAATTTCGATGCATTTCTTTCGTTGTTGGTGACAACAAGACTCAATTCACCTGGTATGAGTACGCAGGTCTCCATAATGACTATTGAAAGGTATGGTGTAGCTATTCATAGGTATGGCACAACGGAGAAGCTTTTGGATACTTCTGTCCTCTGTCTCATCGCGAGGGCAATGATGGGGTCGGACATGCCGGCCTCAACAGGTATGCTGTCTTACCTGGCCACCAGGTGGAGCCCGAGTCCGGTGGGATTGTCGTCTCGGATGGGCGTGACCATGACCTTGTTTGACTGCTCCAGTTGGCCTGGCGACCGCAAATGGTTGAATAGTGTGTGCAAACACTGCTAAACTTGACTGGAGACGGATTGCTGACCACGTGATCTCAACGTCTTACACTTTGAAAGGTATCTATTATGTCAAGAAGGTAGTTCGCTGCCGTTGGAACGTCCTGTCGGTTGGCTGGTTTTTCGAGGGTTGTTACTAATTAGGTGTTCTTCAACCTCTCCCGTTTATAAACCACCAAATGGTACAGTGTTGTTCTTTTGTTCGATCCTTACTTCTACTGAAGATCGTATAATAAAATAAGTTCTATGTATAATTAAATATCTATCAATTATGCAAATTTTATACTATAATAAAAGCTTAGTTTCTTAAAGTCACTCGTGTAACATTTGTCTTATAGTTTATACATTGGTTACGAATTTATGCTTAAAATTAAAACTTTTTTTATAATAAAATACGTGTCCATTCGATAAAAAAACACTTATAAAATTAATAAAATAAATTATTTTCACGTGTGAAACGCATTAAAAAGCGCAACAATCAAGCTCTCTTGTTGCATGCCCTCGAAGACATCTTTAAGTAATCCAGGTAGGATGTTAAAATTAATGGGGGGAAGAGGGTGGAGTCATCTTCACAAAAACCCGCCTGTCTTGTCAAAATGATGTCGGGGCGGAGTTCGCATAATCATGTGACATATGTCAGAAAGACAAGACACTATATTAACCCCTAGGCCAAATTCCATTAATTCATTGTAAACTATTGGAAGATTTTTTGAAGACCTCGAGGAGAAAGGCGTTAGTTCTATAATATCGCGATTCTATTTTAAAATATTTCTGCATGTACTGTACTTATTATTATTCTGTACTCTTTTTTTTATTTTAAATTTTATTTTTAAGATTGCTCTCTTCACCTTAATGTCTTATCTTACACTTTAACTCGTAGCAAACGTCGTACTTTCAAGGCTGACAAAATTGCTTTCCTTTCGACCTCTTCACATCTTTTGCCATCCTGTCATCTTTGAAATACAAAACTCAGCATGACGTCTATCGTAGTTTATGTGTATAGCTAATACGATATTGTTGATTGTTACCTTTTTCAGATTGCTTTCACACCACCTGCTTCCATCTCTTTTCTACTCCTCCTGCTCTTTTTGCATTAAGAAAGGGTCTTTCTTCTTCTTCTTCTTATTCTTCTTCTTCTTTAAAATTGAATTTTTAAAGCTTTTTTAATCTTTAAAATTAAATTGAGCATTTCTTAACTGTTTAAAAAATCAATTCGTGTTTCCATTTTGTCTGTCCGTATGTCCACTTGTTTTCTACAAATATCTCATGAACCGTTTGAGATAAATGTATGAAATTTTTAGGAGGTCTTTAAGAATCTATCCTAAACTTTTATGCCAAATTTGATAAGAATTGAACCATTTAATCTTCAATAAATTTAGTGTAAAGGTTCCCTTATAAGATAGGGTTAACTTGAAGAACGTCATAAACGTCTATACAAATTGTTTTTTTTTTTTTAATTAAGAAAATATAAGATTATATTAATTAAAAAATGAATAAAATTTAATTATTATTTTATAAAAAACAAACTAAATATATAAATTTTCGTGTTTTCACAGTAAATTTTTATTTTTTTACCTCTAAAAGTTAGTTTCGTGGTTGTTGATCTCTAAAAATAAACCACTGACAATTTTATTTTTATTTTTTCTAGAATTTTTTTCAATTTTTAAATATGAAATCTTCTTTATTTTGTCCTTATTTTTTAATTTATAAGCTTAAGTTATTTTCTGTGATTATTTAAACTCAATTATTCATTTTCCTTTACGTGATTCATAAGACTATCACGCTTTATCATCATGTACATCATTTATTACCTAATTTTATAACAAAATTTATTATAGAACAAAAAAATATATAAAATTTTCTATATTTTACAACTAAATTTATACACGTTATCCTTTAAAATTACAATTTGAAAATCTCATTTTCAACTCGAGTAACATCTTTAGATCCACTTTCTTATAAAAGATGTACAACTCGAGATTCGATTTTATTATATTTACAACGTTTACTCGCCTACATTGACTCATTTCCTTTACGTATAAATCTCATTTATATTGACGTAACCCAAACTTATACAAAGATCTATAAGTTTAATTAACTTCTTTAACAACTCTAACCGACCAGCATCAGTCTATAAATAAAGATAATTGCGTTTTAATAGTTATTTATAGCTCTTAAACCGAAGAAAAAAATCTTTAATTTTATCTAAATTTCATTAAATTTTCTCATTTAACATGTAAAAAATAAGAAAAATAATATTTTATAGTTAAAAATAAATATATTTAAACTGTAGGGATGATTAAAAAATGGGTCAGAATGGATGGAAATTCGATCAAATTTAATAAAATTTAACTTATATTTTCACTTATAACTTATTTTTTTGTGTGTTAGAGATGATCTTAAGAATGTATAGACGATAATTTATCGCATCATTAATATCAAAATTGAGTTATAAGAGAAAAATGTGTTAGATATATTTATTCTCCTTAAGTAGCAGAATAAATCTAAGATGCTGATAGATAGTGGAGAACTAAACATGACGTTTTCCTTTCTGCTTCTCCGCACGCATCCACAGAATGACATAATCAATAAGCCATGACTTGGAAAGTGTGAGAAACCTTTACCATTTATATTCACTAAATCGATTCAGACATAGAATTCCTTCGATATAAATGTCTCTTTGTGTTAAACACATTTGCTGAATTGGTAAAACTGTCTTTAGATATATACAAATTGATCAAAGTTTAGTTAATTTATATTGATACGTAGGAGGATAAAAGAAGATTGTAACTAAAAAAATAAAGGAGAAAAATATTTAAATGTAATGTAAACAAAATAGAAACGTATGAAATAATACAGAAAAGTCAAAATATACAAATTAAGTTATTTAAATATATATATGTGTGTGTGTGTATGGTAATGTTATAAAGAAATAAACTGGAGAGGTAAGTAGGAATTTCTAGAGTTATAAACACATAACTGAGTTTTGTGATTACGTAGAGGAGATACGGTTGAATTTGCATAAGAAAATTTAGTAAAATAAGAGAATTTATCTAAAATTACAAAAGAAATTGTAGGAAAATGAAAGGTATTTAATTAGGAATGTGTAGAAAAGTAAAATATGCATAAAGTCATACGATGAAACAGAAGAAAATAGACATAATATAATTAAGGTCATGTATTAATATAAGATAATAGAATAGTGTAAAAAAACATATTTAGGATGATGTAAAATATTATGAAAAACAAGCAGAATGTAAATAAAGTCAATGAAAAATTCAATTTGAATCTTACAGAAAAACAAGGAAAAAGCAGCAAAGTGTAATTAAAATCACACATAAAACATTAGGACGGTGCTGAAAACATAAATAAAATGATGGTAAAAAGACAGAAAAGCAAGAAAATCAATAAAAAAAAAAATAATAGGAAAACAATAAAAACGCAATTAAAACACAGACGAAACAATGCGTTAGCAACAAAATACAATTCGAATCACACAATCAACAATAAAACAGAAGAAAAAATACAATTAAAATCACAGGAGAAATGAGAGAAAAAGAAGCAAAACTCAATTAAATCATACAAAAATTGCGACAAGGAAAAAAAAAAGAGGGAAAAACGAATTAATTATACAATTCATAAATAAAAACGAATTTATATATATTTAAATAATAAACCACTTCTAAATCAATTGGGAATCGTAAACGTTTCTACTTATTTTAATGAAATTAAATAAAATGTGAGATAGTTACCAGATGTTACATTCAATCTTTCTTAAAATGAAATGCTAGAAATTATTAAAAGTCGACTCTTTGATATTAAAAGGATAAATTCTTAATATTAAATCTGTAAATTGAAGTTAATTGAAAATCAAACAACATAAAAATGATTGGAACAAACGTTTCTAAATGCTTGCTTTTAATGACTATATTTGTCAATAAATTTGCTGTCTTCTAAATTAATTTATAAAGAATTTTGACATTTAATAGGAAATTTCTTGTATTTAACATTTTATTTTTTTTTATCTAGAAAATCCTTCAATTAAAAATAATTCAACATCCATCAAATTTTGCCATTCTATTGTTCCCTTTATCGAAATTTAAAGGGAGTTGTGAAGTACTTTATAAAAAGTAAATTAATCATGTTTATCAAGGGTAAAAAAAACCGAATTGTTTTCAAGGATATCGTGATTAAAAAATAGTCAAGAATTTACAGGAAAAGGTAAATACATTATCGATACGTTTGTTGAATTATTAAGTGTTTAGGGGGTGTCGAGTTTTATGAGCGTAGTTTAAGGATCGTTAAAAAAATTCCTTGTTTATATACGTTTTTTAGGTCGAAAATTTGATAATTATAGATAATTTTCCTCGTAATTTCATAGTGTTTATGTAGAATAAATTTGTAGAATCGTCTCTTAAAGTTGACTCCATATGTAAAATCATTGTGTAAGGAAGTAGCTCTTCAATGTTTAAAATATCAAAAATAAAAGGTGTTTATGTAATAAATACTAACAATTTTTACAATATAAATACGTATACACACGATAAAAACTTAAAAATAAAATTTTTGAGGTATTTACAATACGTTTATGGACACGAAAGATTTTCGTTGTTAGACAAATCCAAGCCAAAGAAGTGTCACCGAGTTGTCAAATATGGAAAGAATTCTAAAAAGCTCGAAAAATAATTAAATTATAAGCTCTATATTATAAACAAATTCATTAAAATAATAAGATTTATACGTTTTAACATCTCTAATTCGATGTAGGAAAAAATAAAGATTGTTTGAGTTTACATAACTTCCCTTCTATCTAGTAAATTTAAATTTAGTATAATAATTAATAAATATGATTTTGAAAAATTAATATTTGAAAAATATTAAGGAAACAAGTTCGAAAATAAACACTTTTAAAAGACAGACGTAAAGAAATAGAAAAGAGAATTATGACATGATGTCGCCTGAGGGATACGACTAGAGTGTTTATCTCAATACTTGACATCAGAAAACATTGCAGAAGCAAAGAAAAAGGAGAAGACAAAACAGACGAAGCCAATTACTATGATAAGAAGAAGAGAAACTGTATTTTTTTCCCTACAAAGAAAATCTCTTATATCATGATTTTATTCATATTTTATAAACATCCAAGAAATCAAAATACAATTTTTTTTTAATTTTTAAAAATAATTTCGGTTTTAAAATAAAATTCAAATCGTAAAGTAAAAACCAGTTTAAAAAAAGTCCGCCAAAGTTAATTAAACTTGTCAATTTCACTTTTGAAATTTTTAAATTCTCAATACTCGTTCGTGGCGCCATCTGTTACTAATTTCATTGACTATTTAATGAATTTATTAATCACGTATCGATTTTTCGAATTTCAAAATTAATTCGAAAAGTTTTATTAAGTCGTAAATACCAAAAAAAAAAAACTTAAATTTTCTCTTGGCCATTGAAATAAATTTTTTCCATATTTTTAGTACGATAATTTCTTTATATATTTTAACATTGTTACTGTGTTATTAAGTGTAATTTATGTCACGATGCTGATACTTTATGCTGCTTAGTATATATATTTTTTATATTACTAAATCACTTTTATAACACTTTCTCATCATTTATTCCTTTATTTATTTAAGATTTGACCTACAAGACTTCATAATTAATAGCATGAACATCACAAATCATAAGAATTTTTATGGAGTTACAAGAATGGTTGGCAAATTTTACCTTAGGCTGATATTTTAAAGTAAAAATATAAATTAAATATTAAATAAATAAATAATAAAATTCAGTAAATAAATTATTATACAATTAAATATAATTTATTATTAATTAATATATACAAATATATGAAAATTCGAAGTTAAAATCTAAATAGAGACGTCGATGTAGATGAAACATGGGAAAATACATGTAAAAGTATGAATATATATCTATAAATTTGATAATTATACAGGTGTTATGTATATGAGTATCAGCTGTATAATCTGTATAAGTTAATTTTTAATATAAAATTATAATGTTTATTGGCTGAAAATATTGCTAAAA